AATGTCAGGTAAGTTCACAACAGAACTTTATAATTTGGCACGAGTACAGAAAATCCTGGCTACTACATATATTCATCAAAGAGCTCCATGTGCTCCTAAAATCGAGTACAGTACTATATAATTTAAATAATTTACAATGCATATTTACATATGAGGCAAGAACTAACGATCTTGCACTTTGAACTTTAGCTGGGAACCGATCTCCGTAATCGCCTAGCCACACAGTAACGACTAAAATTCCGCCAAGCCTCGACGTTCCCAAGAAAATAAATAATTTCCCTGTGAAGCGTTTTGTGTGGGCACATTTCCTGCGTTATTTATTGTTGTGCGAGGGACCCTGGTGATAAGCATTTTGGCCTGGGTAGATTTTTGGCCAACTCAGTCGAGAGGCTTACAAGACCGAAATGAGAAAAAGAAAGCAAGCCGCGAGTGCGAGTACAAAATACAAAATACAAGACAAGAAGAAAACCAGTTCCTGAGCAAGTTTACTTTTAGTAGTTGTTGTTACTGGCTTATAGCCTTGAATGTGCATTTCACGTTGTTGCTGGTTTTTAGTTTTCAGTTTTAAGTTTTTGGTTTTTGGCGCGCGCTCAGGAAAACATAAAAACTGGTTGAAGTCGAAGTTGGCCAAGTTTCCCCAAACCTCCAAATCTAAGAAAAAACCGCACAGTGATAGACAAGTGAAATGAGCAGCCAAAGAGACCGAGAAATTCTGTAGTCTGTAGCGGTTTATTTTTGCACACGACTTACAGTTATTTTCTAATTACTTCGCAAGTAATTTGCATACACAGAAAAAAAACGAAGAATTCAAAAGGCAGCTATTAGTTATTTCTTAGAAATAAACTACTACGCCATTATAAGTCTTACAAATACCTAAAATGTAACTTGTGGTTTCAGTTCTTATGCTACAGAACTTTGAGCTTCACAATTCAAGTCGTATTTACTTTGCCTCGACCATCAGATCTGCTCATTATTCGCAGTGTATGATTTTTCCAATACCTTAAAGCAATTAGTCAATTCTTAAATACCGAACAGATTCATAGGGAAAGCCTTGCCGGGTACTTTACCCTTTAAATCACATATAGAATCATACATCATACTAAAATCATTCACAACGATCGTGCCAGATAGGATCTGACGCCAAAGGGGTTGTCCCTCGAATCCTTATCAATTTGGCAAGTGACATTAGTTATTTTTAATGTTTTCCGAATAGATTACTTACAATCAATGATGTTGGACTTGCACCCAGAGATAAGCGCAAATAGGTTAAAAAATATTGAATGCATATGTGTACATGTATATGACATTGTCAACCGAATCGAATCGAGAAATACAGTGCTCCTCTGAAGAATCGAGTTCAGGAAGTCAATTGGCATTAACTCCGGCGGCCTTTCATTTAATTTAGGGGTAATTACAATTACAACTCCCCAACTCACTTGCACTCGAGCAATTGTTTTATCTTTATGGTTCAGTCCCTTTGATTTTATAGCCACTCGAAATTGACCGCATTGAAACTACAGATGGGATTGCCTAATGCATGATACTATACCTACTTTATGTTTGAAATACTTTAAGCATTTGATCGCATAGTTGGATACAAATAATAATATTTCAATTTGCAGCTAAAACAGAGTTTCCTTTTACCAGTTTTGACTGTACCCGCCTCATAAATGCTGACATAGCGTAAGACCCATTTCGTAAAATCACAAAAATTCGTTCTAAATTTTCTTTGTGGCCATGATTGATGGGTGGGCGGTGTTGTTCCGAAATAAAGCGGTGATTGATTGATTGACTCTTTGGCTGATTTTGAATGGGATTATGCAATGGGATTTGGCTGATTTTGAATGGGATTATGCATAGTTCACACTGGTCAAAAGGGGGAAAGGAGTCACTTGAAATGGGATCGATCGAAACGAAAAGTACAGCGCGCAAATTGCGCAAAATGCCAAAGAATGCCGCATTAAAAACTCCAATAAGAGTTGGCCGCAGCAGCAAAAACAACACCGCCCAGCTGCAGTGCAGACGTCTAATTGGAAAAAACAACAACAAAGAGCAAAGATATAAACAAGTCCATGTGCAGTAATTTGTGTGTGTTTGTGTGTTTTTTCGAGGGGAATGTAAAAAGAATTGAAAAATGGACCAACTGGGTCTCCAATAGGAATTCTACTTGAATCGCTGCCAGTTTGACAACCACTGAACGACTGCTGCCTATTGCTGCTGCTGCACTTTTCCTGCAGAGATCGGCGTCTGTTTACAAAACAGGAACACTCGGCGTGCTAATTATAGAACCATTTGTCGTCCACTTTATTAACTTTATAAATTACTATTCTTTCAAATCGATTTATAAAACTAACTCCTCTTTAATAACTAAACTCTTCTTTGTTGCAATGCAAGATGCCATCGTAATGAGGTTAAGCGCTGGTTTATTATTATAACACCACTTTATTAACATCCGATTTAACCAATTTATTCATTACAAATCCACTGCCATCTAAAAGACCACATTTAATGCGGGTAATAGTGTGATTATCCAGTTGGCCGCAACTGTATGCAAATGGGCTGCTGCATTGGGGGCGTTGGCTTTTCCCCCTTCTATAATTCCCCCCTCCCGCTCCCGCAACGCGATGCCTTGGCCTTGTTGATAGTCGTTGGCCTCTTGGCTGACCCGTTGAGTGTAATTGAATTTAAACAGCAATTGTCTTGCGAATGCATTTATTGCCATTGCACTTTGCAAATCACGGTGCACAGCCAGTGGCTCTCAAACTTTCACGCTTAACGGTGCAGCAGCATGGCTAATGAGCGAGCGAGAAGGCAACAAGCCAGAGCGAGACAGCCTCTGAGCAAGCGGAATGCGGTTTAAAAATAAACCAAGCCCCAAAGCGAGACGGCCAACGAGGGAGAGGGGCAGTGAGGAGGCGGGGGGGTCCAAAACGTGCTTCGTCTTAGACCCTATTTAGCCCAGTTTACGACTGGCCAGGCCAGCACAGCCCAGAAAGAAAGAGAGCCTGGTTGAGAGACACCTGTGCCCAGCGCGAGCGGTTGGGTGGAAAAGGGGGAGGGAGTCCCCATACCCCACACCCTCGTTATGCTAATTCGCAACAGAGCTACAGGCAAGCCTACACAACTAGGACGCTTTCTGAAAGTTAAAAATAATACTCGTTTTTCTAATAGTTACAAAGCTCAATAATTCCCACGTTCGTAGTTAAACGTTATGGACACTCAATTACATATCTTGTTGGCTATATTTCATCTACATAAATGAGGTCCTCCAAGCCAGACTAGACTGTATGGCTGTATATGACAGCCTGGCCCTTTTAACGACCAGCTCGCACGCAACTTGACCACAGTGGATTGATTGGTGGTACCAGAAGATGGACGATCGGGCGGGATCGGGAATGCCCTTTACCGTTTACAGTTTGGGAGCCGCAGCGATGTTATGCAACACGGTGCGCTGGGTTTATTGGCTTATAAAGTGGAGCATCGGACCGTAAAACATCCCATAATTTTTTAACGATCTTCTCTTCGCCATTCCGGTTTTTGTACTTCGCTTACCTTTGACAGCCTCGTAGTATCCCAAATCCAGCGTGAATGATTTACGTTAGTATCCTGGCGCACGAAAAATTATAATTATTTGCCAGATTTCTGGATTTCTGGATGCCTCCTGCTTCTCTGCTTCTCAGCTACTTCTTTTCGTTCTCGTTCTTAGCTGCTGCAATTAACATAAATTCCCGTATTTATTTGTTTTTCGCCGACTGTTTTCACTACGATCTTTCTCCTCCTTTCGCCACTCTTCCCACTTTTCTTATTCACGCACACACACGCACACAGCGAAAAATCGAAAGATGCAGACGAAGATGGTTATAAAAAAAAACCAGTGAACGCGAACAGGAGGAGACAAAATGAAGGAGGATGGGGAGCAGAAGTGGGAGAAAAACCGGATAGTTGTTTTTGTTGTTCGACCATAAGCGGCGTTCTTTGGTTTTTGGTTACAAAAACAAGCCGAAAAAGTGTTAAAACCGAAGAAATCTTAACGTTTTTTCAGCGCTTTTCGGGGATTCTGTTTTAATTTATGCCAAAGAATTTTTGTCACTTGTTGCTGCTTTTCGACCTTAATAACAAATTCCAATGCACACCAGTTGCTTTCACACGCAAAAAACCAGATTAGTGGGTTTTTCTATTGTTTTTTTTTTTTGTTTTCTTTTCTATTTTGGGGCAGTAATTAGAAGTAGCCGCGTTTTAAACACCGGTGTAACAGCAACAACAATGGAATTTTCTAATTAGCACAGAAACTACAACGAAAAGAACAACAAAAGCAGTATGAACGGCTTAAGAGAGCGAGAGCGCAAATGAAAGAGAGAATTGAAACGCTGATTACGTTTTACTATTGGCCCGCTTGTTGTTTCTTTACTTTTTTTTATTTTTGGCACGGCTTTATTTATTTCTGAGTTAGCGGTTTTGGGATCCAACTTTCCAGTCCGCGCGCACGTCTTGTCAAATCGCCGATCAGAGAAAAACTGGCTATTCAAAATAGCCGATCCGGTTCTCAGTTGAATTTGAACATTGGTATTTCTAGGTTGCGCCAACATGGTCACACCTTTACGTTATCGTAAAGTTATCGATGTTTACATCGAATTTGGCGCCTTCCGTTGGAATTTGAACTGTAATCCATCTGATGGCGAATGTCTTGATCCTGTTGTTTGGGTTGTGTTAATTAAATCCATTAAGGCATTTACTATTTGCCTTCCCTTGAAACATTCATGCGAACTAAATTGGGTCACGTGTGTACACCTTCATTGTGGATTTTGTTTTGTATTGTATAATTGATCCAGACAAAATTTAGTCTCAATAAATACATTAAATAATAATACAATAAAATCGAACGACGCTGGCAGCGATATCGGCTAGTTCAGCCATATAAAAGCTCCTCCAAAGGCACTTGAAATCATATTTGATTCGAAGCTCAATCGATTATTACATCAAATAACATTCAAAGTACTGAAATGATGCAGCTCAAGTTCCTGTTCACTGTCTTCGCTCTTCTGATGCTGGTCGTCCTGGGAGCCAAAGAAGCCGATGCCGACTGCCTTTCCGGAAGGTACAGGGGTCCGTGTGCCATCTGGGACAATGAGACCTGCAGGAGGGTTTGTATTGAGGAAGGAAGAGGACGAGTCAGTGGCCACTGCAGTGCCAGCCTGAAGTGCTGGTGCGAAGGATGCTGAATGCGAGACCCGACATTACTTCCCCGAAACTGGACAACTTCTATGACAACATTTTGTCTGCATGAACACGTATCAATCACAAAATCCAATTCCCTAAATATACGCAATTGTTTAAAATAAAATCAAGTCAAGATCCAATATTTATTGTTCTGTTGAATGTATTGTTATACTCCGCTCGTGTTGGCATTGTAAAGTCAGCCCTAAAGTCTGGGTGAATATATTTATCTCGTCAAGGTAAATTTCACCACAGAGTCGTCAAAAGGTATGTATATAAGCTCTTAATCAGAGTTGAGAGCGATCAATTTCTTGGGGACTTCAATTCGTAAATCGCAAAAAGTCACCAGAACTGCTACCGAAGCGATGCACATCCAGATTCTATTTGCACTGTCTGCTGCCTTGATGCTGGTTGTCCTGGGAGCGGGTGAATCCTATGCCGACTGCCTTTCCGGAAATTATAGGGGTTCCTGCGCCGTGTGGCACAGGAAGAAGTGTAGAGATATTTGCCAGAGGGAAGGACGAACCGGTGGTCACTGCAGCCCCAGTCTGAAATGTTGGTGCGAAGGATGCTGAATAAGATGTTATGCGCATAAATAAACAACCTTTGCTGACCTATTTTAATGTATATTATTTTCATCATACAGAATGGGATTAATAATGGAAAAAACCCAAGCTTATTTGCTCTACGTATCGATCGACTCAGTTGTTTTGGGTCATTCATATCTAAAAAGATGTGTTTCAGCATTACAACTCCCGAGCATTTATGCATATATTTATGTGCTACGCTTAGGTTCCTTTTATTGAAATAATCTCATTGTGAAAGGTTGTAGACAGATTTTGCACAAATGAAAGATAAACAATGCTCAGAGTTTGATCAGCAGTTAAAATCAATCAGCAGTTGCCTAAATTAAACGTGCTATTTTAAAGTAAACATCGCGATCTATTTTTGTAATAATATACTCAGCCATTAAGAATTACTACGGGAAAATAGGATTTGGTTAAGGAATTTAAAGAAATCAAAGACATTTTAATACAAATTTACAATTTAGAATAGAAAGCTGGCAAATACACTGAAAAGAGATTTGAAAATTAGCGCCATATTTCTGGCGTTGCCAGATATTTCGAGCCTTCTTAGCGGTTCCGCACTAATAAATATCGAAGTACCAAAGGCCCGATAGTTTTAGTGAAGTCGAATCTTTTGCTGTTTTGTTTATAAATTAGACAAAATAATTGTTTCCATTGCAAGCTGCCAGCTACTGAATATAGCCAGCTGAATATATGGAAAATAATTGATGGAGCTACAGAAAACATAGATACTCTTACGCCTCCATCCAAAATTCAAGGCAACGCAAGGATCTTTTTAGGAGTTTTTGTTAAAGTCTTATATTGTAAGCGTGCAGTAGGTAAGAATGTGAGTTACACTATTAATGCCAACAGCTAATCCCCGACAATCGCCGTCCAGATAGGCGTATCATTATACGAACGAACTTGCGGGGACGAAAAGGGAGCAGCCGAATCAACAAACAGGGGGTTCCCCGGCTTACGATCCTCCTGGTTTTCTAGTTGGTCTCCTTCGAAGCACACCCAAAGATGCGGAGATACATTGCACTCTTGGGGTTTATCCTAACCCTAAGTGGACAGTTTAACCTGCTGCTGGCCGTTAAGGACAAAAACTGCGTGAAACTGCTAGACGAACTTGGCGATGCCCAGAGCAAGTTCATCTACTGCGCCACCACAAAATCGGTGCCAGTGAACCTCTGTGAGGGATGCGTTGATCTCTACCGGAATCTCGCCAGGGATTACGGAAAGCTAATTGCGAACGCCACCTGTTCCAAGCAGTACCTGAATTTGGACAGGATCAATATAGTGGCCACCACCGAAGGAATCCTCACTAGCCTGTGGCAAAAGGCCAACTGCGAAAGTGTGTATCAGTACATTATTCATTTGGGAGTCACTCGCCTATTCCAACTTTCCAGATTGCTTCAGGGATAATTTTTGGAATTTATACGACCAAATATCAATACAGTTGCGAACATGCTTGGAATCTACTAGCCCGGATCTAGTTTGCTTTCATTGCAAAAACGATTACGTGGCCCTCAATGATTTCTACCTTAGCATGGAAAAGAAAGTGGGTGGAAATGTGTGCTTTGATCTCCAGGACAATGTAAGTCAAATGTTATCATATGTGCCTATTATTTATTTAAATTTATTTGTCATTCCATATATGGCACAGCTGTATTGCATAATTGAATATTAACATCATTACATTTTCAGATGAACCGCACTCGGCTCAATTGGTCGAAAACACTGAAATGTTGTCAACGCGAGGTGAAGCTCACCAACTTCCTTATCGCCGTGGGCGTAGTTGTCCTGCTGCCCATTTTCACCTTCTATATCACGGCGATTGTAGTGACCTTGCGCCGGGAGTCCAATCATGGTTTGCTTAATGAGCAGGGTAGGAAGAGTCGTCATTGGCTGAAACCCATATACTGATTATTAGCATTTTAGAACCTGGACTGGACGCGCCCTCCACGTCGACGCTGATCACGGCTGCCGTGCTGTCGACGCCAGTAGAAGATCCTGCTGTAATCTCCGCCAGAATGGAAAAAGTCGCCGATCTACTGAGCGGAGCTGGAACTCACCTCCTGGACGAATCAATGGACGAAGAACCTGCTCTTAGAAAAAAAGTCTGTATAAGTCCGGAATCCGACTACTCCAGTGATGATGAGCCTCTTGTTCTGCCGAAGCCCAAACGAGCGTAACAAAACCAGGTAGTGTGTCCATAAGGGGAGCTTCCGAAATCAGTGTAAAATAATATTTTTTAAATAGCAGAACCTAGAGAAGCAAAACTGTAAGCTTTCAAAGTATTTTAGCTTTTCTGCTTCTTATATTGCCTCTTTTATCATATATTTCGGAAAATTATATCCGCCTTGTGCCTACCAAACATAATACACTTTTATATATAACAAATGTATAGCCCTATACATATGTGATATCATATTTATATTAAAGACATAGCTGTCAAGCGAAATGTATAAATGAACACTAAATCCATGAGAAAGTGGCAAGACTACTTGCAATGCGAAAAATTCATTTATAGCATTCTGTATGCACTTTATTGCTGGCAAGTAAAACCGCACTTAAGCCTAGACGTTTAAATCGAATTAATGCGAAAGAAGATCAGGGTCATGTCATCATGGAAAGGGCCCTTCCACCGGATTTGCGTACTAGCTTACGATCTATCCTAACACGAAGATAACGATTAGCAAAGGAAGTGCATTGGCCGGGTTCGTTCGTTGGTCGACTTCGGATCCTTCTCTAATCCCAATCTATCCGTATAGATTGCCATGCGCGGACGAAGTCTGGTAGTGGACCAAACTCCCGTGGGTCTGCAGCGCCGGTTGGTAGTAGGCCTGGTGGTAGTGCGAGGGCGGAGCCGGCTCGTTCACCTGAATCTGGTGGTAGTTGGTGAAGGGTTCGTGCTCGACCACTTCGCGGACCGTCTGGAATGGATGGTTGACAACGATGCGGCGCTTGTGGAAGGTCTCGCTGGTGGCCGAGGCATCTGTTGGCGCAGCAGTGGCTGCGATGACCCTCTCGTTGGGCTTCAGATGGCCAGCGGCTCCATTAAGCGACACATCCACATCGGGCTGAGCCTTCGATTGCGATGGAGTAGCCTGGGTGGCGGACACCTCGGAACTGGGTGCTTCCACCAAGCGCTGGGACTTCTGCTGTCCCAGCTCTGTTCTCTGCTGTCCCCTGTCGCAGTCAGGAGCAATTGTGGTAGCCACCATTGCAGATTTCTCCTGGTCACTGGCTATCTGGATTTGGATGTGGGTGTTTTGCTGCTCCTTCTTGGGCTCCTGCTGCTGCTCCTGTCGTTTGGGTGCCTCAACCAGCCGGGAGGACTGACTCTCCCCACTGTATCGAACCTGGGGCGCTTGGACGAGCCTGGAGGAGTGGTTATCCGGGCTGAATCGCATCTGGGAGTAGGGCGCACTGTAGTCCAGCTCCTCGGCAACGCGCTGCCGGGATGGCTGGTTGAAGTAGGTTCGTGGAGCTTGAGACTTTGAATACAGCACCGTGGGTCCAACGTGCTTTCTGAGGTAGTGGTTAATCTCCGTCACCTGGGCGGGCACCTCCTGGATCCTTCGCTCCTTGAGGGGAGTCTGGCTAGTGCGACCCAGGTAAATGTTGTGCTGCGAGGGTGGCAGGTTAATCTTGTGCTCGTGCTTAATTATCTGGGTGGGTCGCTCGTCCTCCTTCTCCTCCGACAGTTCCAGTCGCGCTGGCTTGGCGTCCACACTGCCGGCACTCACATTGGGCAGATACTCGCCGGAGAAGTAGTCGTCGTCCTGGTTGTAAGGCTGGCGGTTGAAGTTATTCCTCTGCTGATAGACCCTCTGACCCGATCGGGGGTAGTCCTGCTCCGCTTCCGCGCGCTGGATCATCTTGGGTGAGAGATGCTTGGCGTTGATCTTGACGGCGTTTCCATTGGCGTCCACTCCGGATATGAAGGAAGGTGAGCTCTTACCACCATCGGTGACATCTCCCAGGGGCTGCTGCTGTTGCAGCCGGGACTCCACGAAGTCATCCTTGGGCTGCTGATCGTAGGAAGGCATCGTGGTCACACTGAAGCCGATGGTGGTGGTCTGCTGATCCTTTGCAGCCGGAGCTGCATCATAGGATGGCCTGTACTCGGGCACGTTGTTGTTATATGTCTGGGACGGGATTTGACCATTGTTGCTGTTGCTATAGGCGGAAGCCACTGCGGGGTGAGGATGGCCCAAGGGCAGCAGGGTTTCTCCCTTGGGAATCTTAGCAACCGGATGTTCCAGCTCGACGACCAGAGTTCCCGCCGGCTTGATCACCACCCGCTCCTCGATATCGTAGAACTCTTTTTGGATGGCAGGATGACGGACCTCGTACTTCTTGGCCTTCAGAGCTGGCTGCACTATTTGGATGGTTTTGGTGACAAGGGGACGCTGTGGAGGAGCGTAGCCCCTGGAAGGAGCTGGTGGCAGGTAGCCCGAACCACCTTGGTAGCCCGTCTGATCGGCATAGTCCTCGTATCCCTGGCCATCGTCCACCTCTGGCGGATACTGATCCTGGTAGTCCACTTCCTGTCCATCCTCGTAGCTGAAGCCATTGGGATCGTAGCTGGGGCGATTGTAGCTGGTAGCGGGGTCGTAGCCAGACGACGAATCAGATGGTAGGGCGGGCGCAGGGGCAGCAGGCTGACTCGATGCAGCGGAGGACGAGGAGGAGCTGGAGGGGGAGGACGAACTGGAGCTCACCGCCGGCGCAATGTTGGCCGTTTGCATGGGAGCCGGCTGGGGCTCGTAGATGGGCTTACTGTCCTGGGCCGCCTCCACACTTGCACTCTGTCCCTGGTTGGAGACGGGAGCAGCCACCTGGCGCTCGAACATGCGCAGCTGCTGCGACCGATGTCCTCCAATCGTGACCAGTTTCTGGGGAGCTGCATCGTCCACGGATGAGGAGGAACTTACTCCGGAGCTGGTTTGAGTATAGCGCTGCGGGGACGGATTCGATGACTCGTAGACCTGGAAGGCAGGGTAGATGCGTTCACTTGCGGGCTTACCTCATTTGTTACCTCATTTCCACTTACCGTCTCCACGGTGGGACCATGGCTGTGGTACGACTGGATGTACCGCTCGAACTCCTGGTTCTGGCGGAGCTGCTGGTTGCGCTGTCGGAACTGGCCACTATGAGGACTCTGCTGAGGTGGCTGCTGGTGGATGGAGGGGCGTCTGCTGTGATTTCGACGACGGGGCAATCGTCCATTCTGGGACATGGGTGGCTGACCCTGAACCGGCGGCTGCAAACCCAATCCCTGGCGGGGAGACAGCTGCTGAGGAGACAGCTGTTGCTGCTGCGTTTGAGACACCTGTTGTTGCTGTAGTTGTGGCTGAGCTGGGGACTGGGATAGCACCTGCTGCTGTCGCTCCTGGATGCGCTGGAACTGCTGATCCTCATCCCTCTGAGGACCCGCCCTCAGTTCCGCCGGAGCCATACCATCCACGTACTTCACATCCGCCGGATTCGTGGCCGGTTGCTGGGCAATCGAGATGTTGACATGGGTGGCCGCGTCCACCTGGCTCCAGGCCACCAGCAGGAGTACCAGCACTCCTCGAAACATCCTGTTTTGATCCTCTTTCCAATCCGAAGTCCAAAATCCTAGATCCCAAACCTAATTGTGAGTCCAATCACTGCTGACCACCACCAAAGCTGACCGCTGACCGCTGTCTGATCGATCGTGGAGTGTGCTCCGCATATTTATACGGATCTCGGGTGGATTCGGAATCGAAATTGGGGGAGCGATCGCATTCGCAATCGCAATCGCGATCAGTGTCAAAGTCAACTGCAGCACTGGGAATAGCAATGCATACTATGGCTACGATAGCTCCAATAGCTCCAATAGCTCCGATACTGACCTGGGCCAAACTGTTTAGGGATGAGTCTCAGATGCTTAACCCAGTTCTACAATTAAAGGCATTCGATCGATCGCATTTGATGATCGATGATGCATTCAACAAATTGCTGTCATCGCTTCACACTTGTGTGGCACGCACCAACACTGAGAGAAAATGGGGGCCAGTGTTCATGGAAACACATCTCATATATATCATCTAACATGTTCGATTCCCTATAATGATAATTTTGACTTGGCAACAGTTCTTCAGGGTAAAAGAAGCTGGTCCAATACAGATCACAGATTCCAGATAGTCAGTATGGTTTTTCTCCGCCTGATCGCGACTGCGAATTTCGATGGCATCCGTAAATGGTGAGTGCAGCATTTTCATGTAATTGTCGGAAGGTCGGAATCGCCGCTCCGTTGGCAACTTGTTTGAACTTGAAATCCGGCCGAGACGCTGAACTGCTCCACTGGAGGAGGAGCAGCTGGGCTTGATGGATTCGCATTCTCGATTTTGGGGGTGCTGGTCAGGCAAAGTTGCGCAATCGAAGTTTGAACATTTGGCGAATACTGGAAGCACTCGAATTCGGAAAGAAGGTAAAGGTTAATGTGAAGTACTTCTGTTTTTTCTGCACTCGAATTTACCACCAATATGTACAAAGCCGAAAAGGGGAAATATTTAAAATCAAGTACGTCCACTTATAGAAAAAGCACGACTTTAAGGAATATCCTTTATAGCAACCTTGTTTTGAATATCATAATATGTATATGGGCAAAGTCAAATATGGATTTTAAAATCTCAAACTCACACTGATTGATCGAGGTCCTTTCAACAAGTTGAACAAGATTCAAAATTGCCATGTGAACTTAAATGCCGTGTTTTCCTCGTTCTGCTTTACCATTAAAAACATCATTATATTTATCATTTTATAAGGTAAGCCCCATTTTAGTTGTGTAAATTTCATTTCTGCCCTCAATATGACATCTCCAAATTTTACAGTCCCCTAAAAACATATATCTGTCTTGGAACAAGAAAAACTAACGCCTTTTCGACATTTGTAACGACCAGTTGAAGCTGTGGCGCTATGCAAGAACACTGCGACCGCAAGAACACCGCCAGATCCTCGAAGATGCAGTCCATCCAGTCTGGCAGCAACGTGCTTATCAGCATTGCTGGCTCGAGCAGGCGGTTTGAACGCGGTTGTCTTGGCACGGTAAGTGCGCATTGATACAATTCCAAATCCCGATCCAAGTACGTGCCCAGCGTCGCCAAACACCCATGTGATAGTGTGGTAACCACGAATGGCGTTTATTATGTTTGCGGGTGGGAATCAAAAACCATTAAGGAGTAGACAATATTGTATATACCATGCGGTGCATGTGGCCAGCCACAAGACTATCTGTGGCCAGGCGATTACAAGCTAAAGCTACGCGAAAACACAGTCCAAAGGGCAGCTAACGACTAGGGCCATCTACAGCAGCTTCTCGATGTCCTTGGAGATGTCCATGGGATCGGTGGTCGGGGCATATCGGTTGATGGGAACGCCCTCCTTGTTCACCAGGAACTTGGTGAAGTTCCACTTGATTCCGCTGCCTAGGGTGCCGGTCTGCTTGGCCTTCAGGTACTTGTACAGCGGCGCAGCATTGTCTCCATTCACATCGACCTGCAGGAAGCGCAAGTTATTAAATCTAGGTCTAGAGCAGCCAACAACCAGCTTTAATAGCCTCACCTTGGCAAACACCTCGCCGATGTCAGCCTTGGAGTCGCGCAGGTGGCACACCATGGCCTCTCCGTCAGCCTCCGGCATCTGGGATCCGAACTGATTGCAGGGGAAGTTGAGGATCACCAGGCCGCGCTCGCCGTACTTCTCCTTCAGATCCGTCAGCTTCTGGTAGTTGTTCTTGGTCAGGCCGCACTTGGAGGCGATGTTCACCACCAGGACCACCTTGCCCTTGTACTTTTCCAGCGAGATATCGTTGCCATGGGTGTCCTTCACGGTGAACTCGTAGATCGAGGCGGCGTTCTTGTAATCTCCGTTAGCAGACATATCGATCTGGAAGCAATGGAATGTAGGAGTTAGCATTGGATAATTACTCATGCGTGTGAGGGATTGGGTCGATATATAAATATTTTAAACACTATATATTCTCTGTCCAAATCGACCCATTCCACAAGGTTCATTACGGTGAACAGGAAACAGAGAACACAGGCAAAGGCAACATCGTTTAGTTTGGCGCAGAGACAAGCAACTGAGTTAGTCAACGGGTTAGGATCTAGTCAACTAGCAATCAGCACTACTCACGGCAGCTGCTGTGGAGTGCTGGGCGGCTGAGGAGGCGGCGGAAGAGGGCGTGGCCGCACAGCTCACGGGAAGCAGGACGGTGCAGAGGCGGAGGCACTGCCTCTGACCCTGACTCAGCTCGAGAACGGGGCCCAGGTTCCGCCTCATCGAGTAGCACCTGAGGGCCTGGCGGGAAATGTTCTGAAACTGCCTGAGACTCATTCTTTAAACGCTGCAAATAACCGGCAGAATTTCAAGTGAATTACTGGTGTGTATTAGATACAACAACATTCGATTTAAAACAATTCAATAGGAAAACATAAAACTCAAAACATTTCTACTGATTGACGGATAGTTAAGATAATGAAGATAATAGTAAGCATCAGTGTATGTGGACTAGATGGTGTATAGATTGTATTCGACAACGCAACGATAAGCATTCATAAGTGCTTCGCATTCAATCAACTATTATAGTTGAATGATATTTCCTAGATATGTGGGTGCTATCAGCGCCCAGTCCTACATCATATTTATCAACTCATGACTTCTGGTCACAGTGACGCCGCATAATTCATCGGGGTCAAAGTCAAGAACTATATGTACATAACTCTGTATATGTCCGCGCTCCCCATGAGTCACGCAACGCAATCCAGTGGCCACGCACTGTGACCTTCAATCTGGCCAGGATTGGCCTAGGTTGTCGGGTGCCCCCGTTGCCACCGCACATTGCACATGCAAGCCATTATTCGATGCGAATCGATTCGAGCGGAGTCCAGTTGATTGGACAGCAATTTGAAGGGATACTTAATGTCGTGGGTAATTACTTGCATGGTTAAGTAGATGTATGATCCCAGGGCGATTGCCACGGAACCCAGAAAAAAGTGGGCGATGGAACGGCCAGCCATTATTCCGCTGTACATATATCGACTATATGTTTGATTCACAACGATCTGCTCCGAGTTTCGGATGCAGGGATATACAAATATAGAATGGGAATGCTGCGATTCTGCAAGCTCACGCTGATATGTGCGGAAATCGGGAGCAAAGTACAGATTCCCTTCGTTATATATGTACTACATACATATATGTATATATTCTTGTCTGCTCGACCAGCTGTGGTTTTCGGCTGATTAAGGTATCTCGTTTATGGCGACAACGGGGTATTATTGTTTGGGCTTACTTATGTCGTAATTGCAATGACTAATAGCACTGGGCACTTTCTTACTTTCGAAGCGTAAATAAAACTGAAACCGGCGACATGCGAAAAGCCTTATTTATATGTGTAGGTGAAAGCACTTGATAATATAATCGGCGTGTTCGCATCTGGTCACACCAGGCATGCAACTTTTCCAGAGTTGCCAAGTGTGGCGGGAAAAACCCTACATTCTCTAAATATGAAAAATAATAACAGCCTTTAACAGCCTTTTGTTTGGGCAGTCATCAAAACGAAATAAACATTATTATCATAAATAAAACGAAATCTCAAAGTTTTTATATATATTTAGCTCTCATTGTTAACGTCAGCATAGAAGAAACAAAACCACTATCTTAAATTTAAAATAGCGGCAAAATTGACGCAATCACTGTCAGCGCTGCCACAACCCGCTTATACGGCGCTGCCAGACGGCCATACCAATTGGTGTTTAGTATTTTCCACCCACACCGCAAACGGTCGTACGAATTTTCTTCTTTTTCCATTGTGCGTTTTTGTTATTGGCTAGAAACAAATTGTAGACGAAATTTACCAGTGAAATGCAGTGCAAATTGCTTAGTATGTCCAGGGCCTACTAAGACATAGGGAGAGAGAAAGCCAGCGAGCAGGAGCAGCCACGCCCACGCTAGGCGCACCGCCCACCGCCGCAGGATACACATACACGCGTAGCTCACACTCACTCACTGACACACACACGCACTCACGCACACAAAAGAGATCCGTGGGTGGCGAAAAAGGATTTCCGGAATGATGCTCACATCCATAAACAACTCCTTCGAGCAGGACACCCACGATGCGGACGCCAACTGCGATGGGCCCGATCTGGACTTCGTATACTCCGACGTGGATGGCTACCAGAACGAGATCGCCGAGCTGTATAGCTACACGGAGTTCAGCGAGTTTCAGATGAACGTGAAGGCCTTCGAGGACCAGATGGAGCTGTACGACCTGCCGCCCAACTGGCAAAAGCAGGATTCCGCCTCCCAGCGGGGCATAGTGATGAAGCTGGTGGACCAGCTGGAGGTCTCCGATCGATCCTTTCGCATGCAGGCCGCCCGGTGCATCTTGTACCTGGCCCAGGGCTGCTGGGCGGAGGTGCAGTCGGACGAGGAGCAGCACCAAATCACCAGGGACAATGTGCTAGTGCTCTACCAACTCGGTGTGTTCGCTTCCTTCATCGACCTGCTCAACATGGAGATCGAGAGCGCCTGCTCCCCAGACATTGTGGCCGTCAAGATCACCAACGTCACGCTTGTGGACTCGACGGACATCCGGGTGATCCTCTCTGTGCTCTACATCATCACAGAGACAATACGCGATGAACGGGAAAGGGGCAGCGAGGACTACAGAGAACTGGCCGACTCCTTTGTTCAGGAGATCAACTCGCCTCTACCAGATGGCGAGCTCCTGGCCGTCAAGCTGCTGGGCATGATCACAAGGTTTTGCAGTGGTGCAGCACCGCAGTTTCCCATGAAGAAGGTTGTCCTGCTGCTGTGGAAAGTCTCCCTGCTGGGACTGGGTGGCATGGATGTGCTCAAGAATCTCAAAAACGAGTATCGATTAAAGGTGGGCTTGGAACCCATCACCGAGGACACGCTGGAGGTTACTAAGTGCATGCGAGCTAGCTCTCCGCCGGCAACAGCCACTGATATACTGGAAAACCAGTATCCCAAGAGGAACTTCAAGTAAGTTGAATCTTAGATCAATTATGTGGATACACTTATTCATTTTATTTACCACACAGACGCTCCCTGATGAAGCAGCGTTTCCTGGACGAGCCGGAACAGATAGACATGGAGATGGGCGGCAACGACGGTCAAACTAATGCCAACAATGGCAGCGGCAATGGCGGAAACGGAGAGGAAGAGCTCTCTCAGTACTACAGGCCCTACGACGATCCCTCTTCATCGGCATCCACCACCTCGACAGCGAATCCGAACAACCAGCCTAGCCTAACACAACCACCCGCTGCTGTGCCTCCGGTACAGATCACGGCTCGCCTGCCCTGGACGCCCAAGGTGCGACAAAAGGACATTGACCAGTTTCTGGACATATCGCGGAATAAGTTCATCGGTTATTCGCTCATTGGTGACCACGAGAGTCTGGCTGGACTACCGCAACCCATTCACGAGGGCTTTAAGACGCTGCAGCGACACATGTACATGAGTCTGGCCGATGTGCAAATCAAGAAAGAAGAGGACATAGCAAGGAATCCCATTTCCACGCACGAGGACGAAATCAAATTGACTCCGGCGGAGGTGCTATACCAGGCAATCCTGCCAAACCTGCCGCAGTATATGATCGCTCTGCTCAAGGTCCTGCTGGCGGCTTCGCCAACTTCCAAGTCCAAGACGGAGAGCATCAACATAATGGCCGATGTGCTGCCTAGGAAGATGCCGCTGACGGCCACACAATCAACAAAGCTAACTGTCGACATTGGTCGGCACAAAGAGATCATTGTGAAGGCTGTCTCGGCCATCATCTTGCTATATTTAAAGCATTTCAAGATAAATCATGTTTACCAGTTTGAGTTCATGTCCCAGCACCTGGTTTTTGCCAACTGCATCCCGCTGGTCTTGAAATTCTTCAATCAGACAATCACGGAGTACGTGAACACCAAGAACTCCATTCCACTGCTTGATTTCCCGTCGTGTGTGATTGGTGAGCAACCGGATTTAAGTGGCGATAGCTTTGTGTACGGCGGCGAGATGTCCGATAAATCCTACTCCTGGCGGAACGTGTTCTCCTGCATTAACCTGCTGCGCATCCTTAACAAGCTGATCAAGTGGAAGCACTCACGAGTGATGATGCTGGTGGTGTTCAAGTCGGCACCGATCCTAAAGAAGACGCTTAAGGTGCGCCACGCCATGATGCAGCTGTACGTGCTGAAGCTGCTCAAGATGCAGACCAAATACTTGGGTCGCCAATGGCGCAAGTCCAATATGAAGACCATGAGTGCAATTTACGCCAAGGTGCGGCATCGTCTTAACGACGACTGGGCCTTTGGCAACGACTTGGAGTCGCGTCCCTGGGATTTCCAGGCGGAGGAGTGCACGCTGCGGGCCTGCGTGGATCGATTCAATCTGCGACGCTATCCGGAAGCCACCCAGAAGTGTGGAAACAACGGCACAGCAGCTCAGAATGCGGAAAACGCCCAGCAATCCAACATGATGGCGGGCAACAATGGATGCGGCAATAATGGCGACGCAAATGGCTATGGAAACAACGGTGGCGGAGCCAATGGCGGCCACAACCAGCAGCAGCAGCTCAACGATTATGGTGTGGAGGGTGGCTTCCCAAGCGACGAGATTCTTACCCACTCGGACTTTGCCTTCTTCGGACACTCGGGCTGGTGGGATCGCAAGGTCGAGCTGACGGATTACTTCAAGGCCAACTACGCGGTCTGGCTGGAGGAGGAGGTCTACAACAGTCAGACCGACTGGGATGCCCTCTAGGGCAGGGCTGCTGTCGGTGAGCAACTGCATCTCGCATCTGCCCTTCCACACTGTTACTTACTTGATTCCTTTCTGAATTACAGCTGTCCTATAGGATCCACATACGCGTCATATAAGCAAAAAGTTATTAACGTAATTGTAAGCATTAAGCAGTACATTGATATAATCCATGTAGCCCGACCACGATTGGAACACCAACTACTCACTGAATTGGCAATAATTTGGCAAGCCACGCGTCTCCGCTGCGCTCCTCTTCACTAACTAGCATACGCGAATACTACCCCATAGCGATGACAAGGGTGTATATGTAATGAATGTATTTTTTAGTTTATATATTTATTTTACCTGTTCCACGAGTCCCTTGAAACGGATCGCGGTAATTGGCTTCTGTAGCGGAATAAACAAATTTGCTAGTTCGAAAACGATACTTGGCTTGAGGTTAAATGTCTGTTTATTCGTATGTGTGTTTTGTTTCGCACAAGAAAAAAATATAATTCTTTTAGGTCGTAGTCTTAAAGCTAGGTTTAATTTGGTAAATATACACTACGGTATTTACAAGGTGCATATATAAATATCCATTATATAGTACAATAACTTTTCGACTCCATAAAAACGCCCCACACCAAATGCCTCGTTGGGGTTTTGCAAAATTCCATGACGTAATAGTAAACAATACAATATAATAGTTAGCACAGCTAAATATGAATTCCTGAACCGAGTTTCTTCATTTCACAATCTGGTTACAAGAGCATTCTCCACAAGAGAGACCATGTCACCCATAATAACTATCTTAATACGAAATAAAGACTAACTAATAATAGTTGTATTCTAGGGCGGGTCGATTTGGTTCAATTTGTGAAAGAAAGCTAAAAACTGTAGGCAAATTTGCCTTGGAAGTTGAAGGTTGGGCAAAACAATCAAAATAAACACTAAACAATACTACAGTTTTCTTTGGACTTTGCGGTGATTAAAACTTGCTCGAGTTCCAAAATACTAGTTTCTAATTTGAATTGAATAATTGATTTTAGATGATGATTTGTTAACAATTTAAAATCGAACCACCCTAAGAGTAGCTTACAACTATGTCGTAATATGGGGCTTTTAGTCACGATTCGGAGTAATAATCCAAACAACTTATAACCGTTTAACATCCTACTACTATACAATATTAATTTATTGTACACTGCATCCAAGGAAAATCTATTGCTCCATGGGACACGCCGTCGGCATGACGTTGTTATTGCTCGGACCCATGTAGAGCATCCCGAATCGCTTCTGCTGCGGCGGACAGACGACGGGAGCAGGAGCTGGGACCTCGCAGCGCTCCTCAAAGTAGTGGACGATGCGCTGGAGGACGAACTTGAAGATCTTCTCTTTGGCGATCTCGCCATTGAGGAATGTGATGTCCTTGCAGTCGCGGTACTCGCTGAAGTTCCTTTCGTAGTGCGGCCACACACAGAGCTCGAAGTAACCCGTGACATCGGGTGGATCGTAGGTGCGCTTACTGCGCCGCTCGAAGCACTTCTCATAGGGCAGATGGAAGTGGTACTTGAGGTTGCAGAGGGCCAGCAACTCCGGCTGATTGAAGATCATGAAACCTTCGACCAGGAGGAAGTTTACCTTCTTGTCCCTCAGCTGGGCAATTTGGGCATTGATGCGCATTATGTGCTGCTGCTGCTGGATTTGCTGCTGGTGCTGGTGCTGCTGGTGATGGTGGTGATGTCGCGGATGCTGCTGTGGCGGATATTGATAGACGCCACTATTGGCCTGTTTGTAGTAGTTTGCATTGTACTGGTACTGCTGCTGGAACTGCAGGGCGTAGTGCTCAAAGTTGGCATAGGTCACAAGCTGCTCTGGTGGCTCGGGGGCCACATGGTGCCCCTTGATAATATGCGCTATGTCGTTTAACATCTTGGCCATGTCCAGCGAGGTGATGAGCTCGAAGTTGATGGCGTTGAGCGCCTCATTCCGCTGATGACGCTTGTCCTCCACGGGCAGAAAGTAGTCATCCTGCGAGATCAGACGCACCTCGCCAATGGTGTACGGAGAGTTCCACAGCGGAGCTCCACTCAGACCTTTGAAATAGTCGTGCAGGCTGTGGGCTAGCGTCGTCTTGCCACCACAGGTGACGCCCGAGATTCCAATGACCAGCCACTGCGGCATCTTGTCCTCGACTGACTATCGCTCTTCCTTGTTTTTCAGTGGAATCGTACGTTCGCACCGCGCAAGATAACCTCTGGATAACCCCTTAATCGCGTTTCACTCTCAGGCTCCAGATGTGGTAAAAGGAAAACGCGGCGATGCCGCCGAGGAAGATCACCCCGAACACGGTGGGCACTATGAAAGCGTACTTCAGCGGTGGAAAGAACAGCCGTATGGGATTGCCTGTAACAATTAGTACAGTATACTCAGGTTCATAAGTATTTTCTTTGTAAAATGTACGTAGTTTGTTTTTATGATTACTCCTAATAGCAACAAATTAGAATTGTCACGGAATGGCAAACCTTCAGCCATTAAATGTAAAGTAGTCATAACCTAGGAAAAAAACTACCGAAAATAAGTAGATGAATACACACCAGATTTGGTTCACATTATAAAAACCTTATCGTTTTTATTGTGGAATCATAATGCCTAGACTTAACCCTAGATAAAAAACAAAGTCGATTTAACTGCGCACATATCAGGTGCCTACTGTACTCCTATTATCACTAGTAGTCGGTGACCTTGACCCGAGCTTAGAGCATCGTACAGCCGCATTCCAGGTACCCCCGGTTTAGGATGACCCCCTCGGTCAAACGCACGGGTTCACCTCGTACATCGCCGACAATATATGCCAAATGCTATATATACATACTGGAATATAGTGTTCAATTTACGGCGCGGCGTCACTTTAATTACTGCACAAAAGCGCGAGATTATTCAATAAAACTTATGTATGAAGGGGCGGAAAACGGAAACCGTGCAAAACTCACCTTCATCGATGAGCATAAACGGGAGGACGGCCACCCAAAAGAAGTAGTAGAAGAACACGGCGATTGCGGCTATCAAAATGATTTTCCCGAGTTGCGCATTCGAAGCCATAAATAGCAATTCTCGGAAATTCTGGGGTTTCTCGGGCGAGGGAACACGCGACCGGCGATTTGTGCATAAAACTTCTCATGGGTCGTTCACCCCGGACGGCCTGCTCCACTGTCCACTTATCCTTGTCCCGTCGCACGAATCCCAAATATTTCGAAGCTCCCGATTTAGTTCCGTGGTGTAATTGTAAACAAAACAAACAAGTGCGTCAAAAAATTTCCGAATTCAAGATAGTGGTGGCTTAACCACTCGAGAAAGTATCGATAGGTCAAGTAATTTTTTTTTGCACGACACCAGCGTATTTTTGTGGATAATAAGTGATGGACCTCCTACTTATAGAATTTGTTTTTTAATTTTAGGATATGAGCTTAGCTGGCCTGCACTGACTCGTTTTAGAGTTAAATAACAAAACAATAGGTACCTTTTATAGAATGTTATTGTTATTTCAAATTAAACTACCTGTGTATAACATCGATATTAATACCGAAACTTGTATTACTAACACATCGTGAGCAGGAACTTTAAATCTAAAAATACCGCAAAGGCTCTAACATGTTGGTATATACTAAACAGCTGATTATTTAAACGGAACTGATTGAGTAAACAAATCATTTAAATGCATTAAAAATGGTAAAAAAGGGACAAACGAAACGGCAGCCATGGGTGAAGAATCTCTACTCCAACCGGGAATATCCAGACAACTATACGGATGCCAGCTTTCTGAAGGAGCTGCGAATGAATCTACATTGTCGAATATACACACTCACCGAAGCGATTGCCGGCATTACAGTACTTAATAATCAAATATCTTGCATCACCGGCTTCCTAATACTCTACCAACTTATGCTAAGCGACAGCGTATCGCCCAGCACGATACTGATGCCCAGTTGTGGCATCACGGGCATCGGGTACCTGTGCTACCGAGGAAGGAGTCTCAGCTGGTCTCTGCTGGGCGAGGACTCCAAAACCCTTGTCACGGTAGTCTTCTTCGGATACCTGTTCTCTCCGATGCTGCACACCCTAACGCAGGCCATCAGCACGGACACCATATACACGATGACCTTCTTTGTCCTTCTGGGCAACCTGATATTTGGGCACTATGGATTGGATGTGGCCATGGTGTCTAAGGTGGGGATTAAAAACACCTTAGATTTCTATATAATACAAATACTTATCAATCTCCATGTTAACCGCAGGCCATTTCGCTGAATGCCGCGATATTTGGTGCCATTTGCCTAGCCTCCCGCCTGCCGACTTCATATCACGCCTTCGTGCTCCTCGTCGAAGCTGCCGTCTTTTTCGTCCTGTATCCCATAATGACGGAAGCAAATTGGCATGCTGGATTCATGGTGCCTATATTTGCAATATGCTGTATGGCGCTGTACTGTATATCGCGTCCAGTACTCTATCTCTACGCCTCCACCACCATTTTCCTCAACTTTGTCTGCCCGTTCATATTCGTGTGTCAGCAGCAGTACAAGTTCAACATCCACGGACCCTGGGACGAGGCTATCGTGGAGGAGAACACCGAGGAGAACCTGGATGACAACTTATAGCGGCAGCTCCGCTTCTCAGAACTGTTGCCGCCACGACTGGGTGACGGCGACGTCGGGGAGCACTTCACTGATCACTAACCCGTTGCACGCTTATCTGTATAACTTTGTAAGCTCATTCCAAACCATTGTAATAATTAATATTTTTTTATCATGTTATCTGCTAGCTTGTAAGTAGCCTTTTAACAAATTATACTTTTCAAAAGTCTATAAGTCTTGTGTTTAAATCCATAGCACTTTTAAATAAATATTTATTCAATTAATACTTTTAATGTGCCCATCAATGGGCAACTAGATACCATCAAGGGGAAAGAAAAGTTAAAGGCATACCCTACCCCAACAAAAATGCTGTAGCAATTAATAGATGAAATAGTTTTTTAGATACTGTGGATAATTTCCATCTTATTCATTCTAAAGAATTTATTCAAGGGGTTTACTCAGTCTAAAAATAAATGAAGTTCAGGCTTGTTTATCGTTTGCGGCTTAAACTTGTTTTATAGATCACAATTAAACATTCGCATATATGTACATAGATACATTGTAATTATTTGACCCTATCTAACGCAAATAAATGGAGGCAATTGCTTTAATAATAGACTATGGAATATGGATGAGTGACATCTGTATTAAGTGCACGCCCTTGGGTTTCCCAGAAGCTCCTAGTCTAACCAGAAGTGGAATTATTGTTATATTATGCGTTTCATTTTTTATGTAAACGTGTTGTCTTTCAAGCTACCTCCATCGTTTCAGCTTGCATTCCTAAAATAGAAAGAATACCTATTACATCATATCATATGCCTGATAAGTTGTCGCTTTACGCAGCGCACTATTTTCTGCAATTATTCATCGTATACATAGAACGACTCAAGCCGTTTTATTTGTTCAAATAAAAGTCAACAATTTTCCAATGAAGTAAGCATGCTAGATTCCCATGTCATCAGGGAATATTACAATTTTTAAGGAACAATTTTCTGTCGTTTTGTTTTTCTTTTTTTTAACAGGGATAGCTTTTATTTAAAATCCGTCCTTGCATCTCCCTTCTTCTCCTTGAGGTCCTTCTTTCTCGGTGTTCTGGCCAGCTTGGAAACACTCGGGTATGGTGTGTGGGAACGGATGCCACATGTTATTTTAATAAGTTACAAATTAAAATTTTCTATTATGTCTGGTGACAAAGTACCACAGTGGATCGAAATTGGAAAAACCGGTGCAGTTCTCATCAATTAAGGGTTACATTTCTAGGCTAGTTGTAATTAAACACAAAATGTGTTGTTGTAATTCGAAAAAACCCAGTATAATAGCGTTTAGTTGCGTTGCAATAATTTGTTTATTTAGTTATTAACCGATTTTACACACTATAAGATTTAGTAGTTTTCCGGCAATTTAGAGCAACGAGCCTTGGAGGATGGCTTAGCATCCCTCGCACCAGCACTTCAGGCTGGGACTGCAATGGCCACTAGATCGTCCTTCCTCTTTGCACACACGACGGCAGGTGTCGTTGTCCCAGACGGCACACGGTCCTCCGTATCTTCCGGAGAGACAGTCGGCATCGGCTTCCTTGGCGCCCAGGATGAAGATGGTCATCACTGCCAGGAAAAAGTACAGGAACTTGATCTGCATCTTGTCAGTTTGGAATCAGATTACTGCTGTCGGAACAATTCGGACTTGATTTATGAGTCCAAGCCGCCAACAACCGCTTTATATAGGGATTGGGATCTCTCTGCCCAGTGATTAAGACTCTGACAGCTTCGGCGTATTTATGGAGTTGATTGGCAGATAATTAGAGATAATTATTGCATTGTATTTCTTTAAGGGGCATACTTTAGGGCTGATGAGATCACGAAAACTTTTTTTTTTTTTTTTTTTTTTATTGTAGTTTATTAAGATATACAGGATAGCTATGAACCCTTTTATTACCTTATTTTCTATTGTTTCTGCCAATTGGCGCTCCGGCTATAGGGAATATTTAATATAGCTTTTTCTAGTTTGGTCTAATACTCTCATGTTGTTTTATAATTAATGTTTAGCTATTAAGCTATTGTTATCTTAGCACTAAGTCTCTTGGTTGACGTCTTTTGATCCTCTGCCTCGGTCGAGTAATGGTGAGATCATTAGCGAGACGATTCCTGTGGTTCATCAGTCTTGAGTTGTACCGACTGGAGTGGAAGTTGATTTGTTGTAGTACCGTAACTAGTTTTAGGTCCCTATGTAGCACGCTATTTCGAATGTACCACTCACAGCCTGTAATTTGTCTCGCTATTTTGTTCTGGGCCACCTGAATTTTTTTGATTTGGCTATCTCTTGCTATCCCCCAGATTTGGCAACCATATTGCCAGATGGGAGCAATGACCTGCTTGTATAGGGTGAGCTTATTTCGGGTGGAGAGTTTACTGTTGCTTCTTAGGAGCCACCAGTGCTTTGTCACAGCTGCTCTCACCCTTGTTTTGATGGCTGCTATGTGGGGAGCAAATGTGAGCCGGCGATCTAATGTTATGCCAAGATATTTGGCCGTACTACACTGCTGTACCATCTCCTCACCTAGTTGAACAGCAGGTGGTGTTTTCCTCCTTAGTGAGAAGCACACGTTAGCTGACTTTTGACCATTTATGCCAATATTCCATCTTCTTGCCCATTTCTCGTACCTGTCAGCGTACTCTTGTAGGCCGTCTGCTGCTTCATATTCGCAGGATGATCTGTAAGTAACACAGACGTCATCGGCGAAAGTGGCTAGAGTCATCCTGTCAGGGTTGGCGTCCATACTAGCATTTGGCTGCGGCATATCGTTGGTATACAGACAGTACAATAATGGACCCAGTACACTTCCTTGAGGCACTCCTGCACTGACCTCATGTATCCCTGAGGTTGCGGAGTGGAAACGTACTGCGAACTGCCTATTCGCCAAGTAGGACCGCATTAGCAAGTAATACGGTGCTGGTAGTGTCATTTTTATTTTGGCCAATAGGCCAATATGCCAGACTCGGTCGAATGCTTCCTTAATGTCCAAAAAGAGCGCATTGCAGTATTCTTTCTCATCGTAGGCTTGCAATATTTGGTCAACGATGCGGTGCAGTTGTTCTATTGAACTGTGACCTGCACGAAATCCAAATTGGTGATCAGGGATGGCTCTTCTGGATGACATTATCCCAGCAATTCGGGCAGAGATAAGTCTCTCAAAGATCTTCGAGATTGATGGGAGGAGACTGATTGGCCGGTAGGATGCTGGGTCACTCTCTGGCTTTCCGGGCTTGTGGATCATACTCACTAAGCCAAATTTCCACTGGGCAGGGAAGTAATGCAACCTCAACATAGCGTTGAAGATCAACGTTATGTAAGAGATCGCGTGAGTAGGCAGCGCCTTCAGAGTAGCGTTGCAGATGATGTCGTGGCCTGGTGCTCTTTTAGAGGATTGGCGGTTTATGATCGCTGATATCTCACATTGGTCGAACGGGAGAATCGGTGCATCCATTTGCAGCGCTTGCTCGAGGACTTCCTGCGTTTCTTGTTTTTCCTGTTGGCTGGCAAGGTTAAAGGGCTTGAACCGTTCAGCTAAGTGCCTAGCAAACACTTCCGCTTGTTCCTTGTCAGAACGACACCATGTTCCGTTCTCATTAGCTAGTGGTGCCTTCCTGGGGCACCTCCTTTTTATACTACGCGTCGCTTTCCATAGAGAATGCCTCGCTTCGCTTCCAGTACCAGTGTTGGTAAGCCTCTCGTCGAACCATGCAGCTTTATGGTCCACCAGTTTCTTACGGAGAATATGTTGAGCTCTGTTCCACTCTAATTTGTCTAGAGGGTGGCGGGACCTCATCCATCTTGTCCGAAGTCGTCTCTTTTCAGCAATTAAAATAAGAATTTCCCGTGTGAGGGGTATACCTGCTGCTACGGGTCTCTGTGTCAACGTTCGTGTAGCTGTTATGGCTGCCGATTTCACCTTTACAGCAAATAGGTTGATTGCGTCCTCAATATCTTCTTCTGAGTTGATTTCTATATCAAGATACAGAGATTGCTCTAGAAGACCGCAGAACATTTCTAAGTTGGTGTGTCTGGTTATCAATCGATCTGCTGTAGGATATGTCAATGCTGTGACATCCAGCGTTATGATAAGAGGCAGGTGATCAGAGCTGAGATCAGGAGCCGATGTTATGGAAGCATGAATATCGAGAACGCCTTTCGTTACTGCAAAATCAATGCAGCTTGGAGTTCCTCTCCTACCGTACGGATACCGAGTAGGACTGCCTGTAGCCAGCGTGTTGACTTCCGTACTAAGAATAAGATCCGCGAGAGCGCGACCTCTTTGATTGCATCTTCCTGAGCCCCAGAGCCAGTGAGATGCATTCCAGTCTCCTGCAATTATAAATTTTCGATGATTTAGCGGTAGTATGTCAGCAAATTCATTTGTTGTCCATGTGAAACGAGGAGGACAGTAAATCGCACCAAAGTCGATCACACCAAGCGCTGTGTTTATTCCTGCAGACGCTATTTGTACTTTTTCGCTGGTAACAGGGCTCAGAGGATAATGCACCAAGCTAGATTTTATAAAGATCGCAGCTCCTCCTCTAGCATTGCCAACACTTGGATCATTAGCTGGATATGCATCAAAACCATATATTTTTGGCACAAAGTTTCCTCGGCAGTGAGTCTCACTAATTAGTATGACATCGATCTTATTTTGTCGCGCAAAGCACTCAAGCTCTGGCAGCTTCGTGGAAACGCCATCGGCGTTCCACATTAGAATGCGCAGCGGCATCATATTGTTGATCGTTGCGCTTGGAGGGCAGCAAGCAAATTAAGAATTTGCCCCTGCTGCTGTGTCTGCTGTTGCTGCTGTTTGAGCATCATCATCATCATCTCCGTCTGTTTATCCTGTAACGAGCGGAGTGAATCGATATTTCCATTGAGGGTTCGCATCATGTTTTCAATGTTATTTTCAAGAGATGAGTGATATGCCGTATTTCGGGATCTCGATGCTGAACGGTTGCGGTTGTTGTCTCGTTGAGCTGCAACTCGAGATCTCGATGTCGAGCGGTTGCGGCTGTTGGTTCGTTGGTTTATGTTTGGGTTGTTCTGCTGTTCATGTTGAGAGACATGCACGCCTCCCCTAGCTGCATCTGCATAGGAGACACCTTGACGAGTGGCTACTCTTGGTCTGCTCCTAGTTTGATCATTTGTCTCGGTTTGGCTATTCACAGTAGGCCGAGCTCCAACTCCACGCTTGGGCCGAGATCGTTGCAGGAACGCCTGGTATTTGGGGCACCCTGAATAGCTTGCAGGGTGCTGTTGTCCGCAATTGTAGCACGTGCACGGTTCACTGCGCGGCCTAGTACAGTTGCTGGCAGCGTGCTCGCCAGCACATTTGACGCAAATATGCGCTTTACGACAGTATTTAGCCGTATGGCCAAACTGTTGGCATCGATGGCATTGCACAACAGCATTGCGCTTTCGGAGGGGCTCAACGATAACCCGCATATGGCAAAGTGCCTTGACTAGCAGGATCTCCTTATTATTGGCCGCGGCGGCAATATTCACGAAGAACATATTTACCGGCTTGGCTACAGGGGTGCCTGGCTCACTGCGCCTCTGGGGCAGATGGACGTCAAGCACCTTGTGTCCGAATTTTTCCAGATCCTCCTTAATCTGGCTATGAAGCGTGCTGTGGTGTAAGCCTTTAATGCAGACTTTAAACGGCCTATCTTCCTTCAGTTGGTAGCAATGGAATTCATATTTTTCCTGCTCAAGCCAACTGACAATGCTACGAAAAGTGGTAGCGTCATTTGCATAGAGTCTCATCATACCGCCAAGTGAAGCCCTAGCTTCAACTTTATTTATGTCAATTATTTTCCTGAGTTCTTGCATGAGCAGAGAGACGTTTTCAATACCTTCCATCACTATGGGCGGTGGTTTGGGCTGCGTCTTGTTGGGAGAACCTGAGGTGCCAGGAGAGTTAGCGGCCCGCTTCGCCGCAGCAATGGCAGCTTGATGACTTGTACTAGGCCTCTCACATAGCACGTCGTTGGCGTTCTCAACTTCCATGTCATCTGGGTGAAGCGCTAGCAATTCGAAACGGTTTGAGCTGCCACTATAGTTCGATTGAGGTATGGGAACGTTATCACCGTTCTTGCCGAGGTTAGCTTTTTTCCCATCAGTCTTTGGGGAGGCGCATGACTTGCGCTTTATTGTTTGAAAGCGCTGCGAGGCTTCACCTGAAGCAGGGCTTTGGTAGCGCGAGGCGGTTCCTGATGTGGACCCATTGACGCTCGAAAAAGCAGATGCCAATGAAGCTGCTGTGGCGGCAAAATCGGATACTTGTAGAGTATCATTATCTGAGGGCGCGTTGACGGCATTTCTAAGTTCCTCTCCTAGAACTGCCTTGTTCTTATTAGTAGCACTAGTAGTCGTTGACTGCGACGATTCCTACTCTGGCAGTCAAAGAGATCGGTTGTGTCGCGCGCATGCAAAAGTGATTTATTTTTTGCTTATCGGTGCATTCCCTTTTGTGCTCAAAATAGCACAAATCATTTATTTGGGCGCTGCTTTGAGCGGTGTCGGCAGTTTGACAAAAACAAAAAGTGCATCAGGTGAAGTGCATTCAAACGGTGCTTTCTGCCCTTCGGGCAAGTCATCTACCTCACCCCGCGCAGAACTGCACAAGAGGTAAACAAACTTTGCTTATCAGTAAAACCGAACTGTTTATGCTCTGTTCCGGACATTTGGGCCCGCAAATT